AAGAAAGAAAGAAAGAAAGAAAGAAAGAAAGAAAGAAAGAAAGAAAGGAAGGAAGACCACCTGTTAGAACGATGAAGCCTACACATTGGGAAGTAATTCTTTTTGGAAACAACATGATAATACAAAATCTGACCCCCATTGAAAGAACTTGAACCTTCATCAAAGGTTCACAAAAAATATTAAAGTAACTATATCTGTGCAAACTCAAATGAAAATATTTTTCAGTCCGTTGGGGTTTTATCCAAAGCAGTACTTCTAAACCTTAGAGGTTTTTAGGATAAGTGGGCTTTTAACTCCCAAAATGGAAATCTACACATCTTAAAATTACAATGTTGTAGGAACCCTCCCATTCAAGCAACAGATAGATGTGGGAATGGGTGAGGCTTTCACCTCAAAACAATGGTGCTGTAAGCAGACGAATGGATCGGTTGCCCAACAGCCGGGTAGGGTTCGTGGGAATTTGAAATATGAGCTTATTATAAACATTTTGGAGAATGTACTAAGCATAGAAGCTAGGCTGCTTTTCATTTAGCAAGAAATAGCTTTGAGCCCATCTTCTCCAGAAGATTCATCAAGGACTGCCCTGGCTCTGGTGACTCCAAATCTACCTTAACCAGAGATGTTAAGACAGAATCCTGGTGGCTACAGATTCAGCGTGCAACCGCTTGGAAAACTACACGCTGAATTTTTAGTTGTGCAAATTCATCCCTGTCCCTAGCTTACCTTTCATTAACTTCTAGTTTCACCCCAGAGCTTTCTACTCTGGCTTGATTCATCATTTCCTGTGGAGAAATGGAAAAGAAAAGGTGGGTTTGGCCAGCCAGTAGATCCAAAGTGGTTCATCTCCAGCCAAGGAGGACCAAGCTGGATTGTTGTGAGGCTGGGATGCTTCTTGGCACCACACAATTAGGTGTGGATGCTTCCTATTGTTCCCACAGCAAACACAGACATTAAACCAAGTTAGAGTGTAGCTTGGAGAAACCAACATGTCCAACCCCCTTTTAAACAAGGACTTCTACTTTTTTTTGAAAAACAGGCCGGTCACAAGTTAATCCCACCTCTATCCTTCTCACGGCATCCTCAACTGCCGCAGAAGTGGTGGCCATCTCTTTGTCGACCAAGTCGCCCAGTTCTTCTTCCCGGATGTCCAAACTTTTGGGTCTCAGTTCCTAAACCCCCCACAAAGAAGAAAAGTGGATTGAGGAAAAGTGGATTTGGCCTAAGAAAGCTTCAAGAGTTTTAATCAATGGCGAAGAGCAAGCAACGACGTTGCCTGCGCCCAACGTTCCTCGCCGAGAACTTCTCCTGGTGGGCCTCCGTTCTCTCGTCACCTGTCCTAGCTGGAATAGCCTCTGCAGAGTTGTCCTCAGGTCTGCTGGATCTGCTTCTCGGAGAGACTGCTTGTCTTTGAGCTTGTTCAGGTAATCCAGGCTATGATACCCACAGTCCCTGCAGGATTCTGTCAGTTCTGGACCAGGGGAAAAAAAATAAGATCCAGTTGTCAATGTTCCAACTAACCAACTCCAAACCCATAAACTCCGAGGCAAACAATTCCTCAAAGTTCCATTTTATTAGAGTTGTCCTATTGGCACATCTGGGAAAACCCAAATCTGAGAGTTCTGGGTTTTCCCTTCCCAAAAGAGAAATCCAAGATCCATCCCCTGCGTCTATCAGTCCATCACACAGCCCAATCAAATCTTCGTCCCAACTGGAGACATCCCTCCAAATGTTCCCCTCCTGGTGCAGGGCAACTTGTCCTTGACTCTCAGAGAAAAGATTGTTGTTGAGTCTAATCTTCTACCTCACTATGAAATCCCCCCTCCCAAATTCCCAGGCACTGAATGAGGCCCCCTCGAAGCTTCCAAGAAAAAAAAAAAGGCTTCCGAGGCTGACACCAGTTGGTTTTGATCCTGAGGCCATTTCAGGAAGCTTTATAAAACATGGATGTTTCCCTGGTCAGGGAAGGCAGTCAACCTTTTGGAAGATGTTAATTTATAGAGCAACGCCATGATATCAAGAAGGTCTTATCATGGCTTGAATCGTCTTTGGAAGAACCTAAGAGAGGATCAAAGATCACATCAGATCAAAAATCTGAGGAGCCCAGCTAACAACGCCTTGTGGACTGGATCCCTTCAAGCACCAAGGAGGTCGCGAGGTTTCCAGTCCTCTATCTTTACCAGGGGTGGGAGTGGGGAGCCTTTCCCACGCCCTACTCACTGTCAGCGTGATCCGTTGGGGCAAGATGAGACGTGGCACTGCCGTTCACGATGGCATCTGCCGTGAGATGGGCAAACTGCGCCAACGCGGCAACCAGTCCAGTGGCATCTGAGACAAAGAGCGAGAACGGAGGGGAACGGTGAGAATGGAGAGCAATCCAAAAAGTGTGTTGCATTCAAGGCAGATGGAGACCAGCTTCCTCTGAAGTCGGTCCTTCCTTCATGGCAGCGTTCAGCCTCCTTAGCTGCTTTAAGATGGGTAGACTTCAACTCCCAGAATTCCCAGCCAGCATAGAATTCTGGGAGTTGAAGTCCACTCACCTTAAGGCGGCTGAGGTTCAGGAAAGACTACTTTAACCCAACCCAACCCAACCATGCTTAAATCTAAAGGTGTATAAACAAAAGCTAAACAGGAAAAGGGATATAAGACATCATTGGCCCTGTTTTAAAAAAAACCTGAATGTTTGCTGTGCCTCAAACAGCTACACAATCAAAACAGTTTCTGGAAAGAAGACAGAATGAAAATCTATTTGGAGAGAGAATTTCGTAAGTCTTGATGCTACCGAGAATCTCAGCTTTGTCCCCCACCCTACGAGTGGACCTCCTGTGACTTCATGTAGGACTTCCTCGGGGGATCTAAGCCCATCTTATCCTTAAGTTCTTGGTTCCTGAATTGTCTGTGGTTTCCCCCCCGCCCCCCCGCTAAAAAGGGAAACGTGAGTTTGAGAGCCAACAATTTCTTTCTGCTCGCTTGAGATATCTGCAACGCTTCCATTCCCAACGCTCGAGGGAAGGAACCTGGAAACTCAACACGTCTCACCTGCCATGTTGGTTAGATAATGTTTATGTCCCTTTTCCAGGGCATTCACCGATTCCAGAGCTGCCTGGGCGCGGCTGACAAGATAATCTGCGAAGGAAGAAATTGTGGAATGTGGTTTGGGAGGAGAAGATAAACTTGTGTGTTTCTGGATCTCTGACTCAGAGATCAGGCAGCCCGGGGCCAGATTTGGAAGGAAGGGAGTCATCTTCATCTCTCCATTTTTTTTAAGGGCTTAAAAGGATTCAGGACTCCCTATTCTGACCCAAACCTTGTTCCAAGAAAACCAACACCAGACAGAGTTAACAGCAAAACCTTGTAATGATTCTTTACGAATTCCCGATTAAAAGGCTGTTTCAAACTAATTGTCTCTGATAAGAACGAGCCTTGTCAAGGTTGTGCAAGGCTGCCAAGAACACTAAAGTTGCCAAGCAATATTTCAAACCCAAAGAGTCTCCAAACACCAACTAAGAGAATCCGAACGTCCACCAGGCTTGAGTGCAAAAACTTCTTTGCTTCCTGCAAAGAACTCCGGTTTCTCAGCTGGCTTTTATCTCTTAAGGGACAGACCATGACCTTGCAGCCTTACTCCCGAGTCACCTGTGCTGCTGTAGCTGCTCTTTCCCTCGAGCAGCTCTGCGCGCATGTGCCCTGGGCACAGGCTCCTTGGGATCCTCTTCCTCACTGCTGCCAGCCTCCACAATCTCCGAAGGCCGCACTCCACTCCCTGATGGTCCTGGCCCCATCCCAGCATCACACGCAGGCCCCTCATCTGAGTCCTCGCTCTCCAAGGCCTCAGCCGTCCACACCTGCTGCCGGCGAACCACAACACTCACCTGGGGAACTGGTGCACCGGATATGCAAAGGGTCGTCCAACTTGCTCACAGCATCCTGGATGATGCTCTCGGCTTCCTTGATTGTCCCTTGCAAGATTCGGAACTGGTCATCCAGGAGCTTCTGCTGCAGGTTCTGTTCGTGAGTTTTCTGTAGAGTGGACCCAAAACGTCGATGAGCAAGTATGTTCACACGTTACAAGACCACACAGTCCTTGGATCAGGTGTCCAAGGAAAACCAGGAGGACGAACTGGTCCCAAGCCTGGCCTGACTCCCTCTCTCCCTCTCGCCTTCCCCAAAGTTTCTCCTCCGTACTTTTTCCACCAACTTTTCCTGGAGTCCCTGCACTTCCTTCATCCTCTTCTCGGCTTCCTGGCTCAACAGCAGTTCCTTCTCTTGAATGAGGCCCTTGGTTGAGATGAGCTCACATTCCTTCTCGTTGACCGATTTCCTCAGGGTCTCCTTTTCGGCTTGCAGGGCCTCCAGCTGGCTGTTGAGGTCCGAGCCAACCTGCACATCATGTGGGAAAGAGTTCCACACGCTGGTTCCTCACTCGAAGGTTTCTCACACCCTCCCTTCACGTTATTTATGTGGAGAAGTTGCACCCCGAGGGCAAACTAACTAGGACCTCACTAATACAGGTTTAAGATTAAAAGACAATTAAAAGATAAAATTAAAAGATATAAAGGTGTCATACTCCAATCAGCAACTACAGGAGAAACTTTGTTTAATGAGAAAAGATAGTGTGAAATTGAAACAGGACAGACAAAAAGTATGAATATAATGATTTGAATTGAGACGAGATAATTAAAATAAAACTGAGAAAATTAAAAGAGGGGAGAAGCTATGCAGAAAATGTAAAACAGTAATAAGATATGGAATAGAACATAAAAATGAGCATGAAATTGAGTTTGTGTCTGTATGAAGAAATGTAACCCGGGATTATGCTACTTTCAAAAAAGATGTTTTATTTGTATTTTTTTTTCTCTTCGTGAAAACTCAAATAAAATTTACAAAAAAAAAAAAAGGAGAATCAGGAGGCTGTGAGTTCGATCCTAGGCAGAGGCAGAGATTTCTCTCTCTGGGCACAATGAGAATATATATCCGCTGAACAAAACTCCTCACTGGTGACAAGAAAGGCATCCGGCCATTAAAACACTCTGCTAGTCCCATTCCATTGTCCAGACTCCAGCCCGCAAGGGATTATGGGGTCGTTAAAAGATGATGATTCTAGGCCACACAGCACCCCAAACTAGCAAACTATCAACAAGCGAAGACATTTAAAAAGGCACCTCGAAATCCAGATAGGGCCGGAGAGACGGGATCCCCCAGAGGCCATACAATCGTCTCCTTAGGCCAAATACCTGCTTAGAATGGCTGAGCGACTGCTGAAGCTGAGTCAGTTCTCCCGCTTTGGACTCCAGCTGTCTCTTCATCTGTTCTACCTGAAGCATCTGGTCTTCTAACTGCACGAAAGCCCAAGAGACGGGACCTATCACAGCGTGTCCAGGGGAGCCATCTCACCCCAGGGTCAAAGCTATGTCCCGTGACCAGTTATGGAGAAGGAGAAGGAACCGGACCCTTGTCCAAAGAAGACGACCGACTCTGACCCAAAATGTTTCGTCCCAAAGAGAGGCTCACCTTCATTTCTGACTCTCGCTTGGCTTGCTCCATCTGGAAAGCCAGCTCTTCCTTGACCCGGGCGACCTCTTCTTGGCTCTGTTGGGTGACGGTCAGCTGCTTGGCGGTGTCTGCGTTCTGGGTGCGAAGATTCAGAGTTGAAGGAAGGAGGGAGGAGAAAAATTTGGCCAAGCAAGAGACAAATCGAGGTTTCCTCTCAACTCCCAGAATTCCTGAGCTAACATGACTGGTGTCAGGAGTCTGGCACTGAACCCCAATTAAACCATGAGTCTCGAGCCAAACTTCCAAAACTTCCAAAGGATTTATTGGGAGTTAAAAGGTGCGGCATTGCCTAGATATAGCCAACTCTGAGACACATCATTCATTGTCACCCTTGACCCTGGTTTTCCCCCCCTCCCCCTGGGTGTATCCTAATTCATATTCTCCAATGGGACACCTCCATAGCCCAGAGTCATCAATCAGGCGAGATATTCAGGGGAGATATTTAAAGATGACCACAGAGATGTCACAACAACCAACATGACAAGGAATCTGCCCCAAACACGGTCAACCGTTACCTTTCTCAAAAGTTCCGCATGGGTGTTGATTAATTCGTTGTGCTTCTCCTTCAGCTTGGCATACCGGATTTCGGTGGTGCTGGCTTTTTCTGCCAAAGAGAAGGATATTGCCACCTTATTACTTTCACCTCCCTATTAAATCATGAGAAATTATTTGCTGGGACATTTGACTAGTTTTTCTGCAAAATTATGACCATTCTTAATGGCCAATGAAAGGCCGCACATCTGTTTATTAGACAGCACTGCTTCTGAGGCAGTTGTCAGACCCAGAGCTTAGGAATTCCTTCCATCAACAGACTCCCAAAGATTTCCTAAAACGATCAAGTGTTTAGTTTAGTTTACTTTGTCACTGCACCTTGTACCATGAAATTAAATACCATCTTCAGCGTACCTTATGACTATGAAAATGAACACAAACCCCCATCCACATTCCATACAACTGAACTGAAAACCCCTGATATTGCATTAATATTGCACTACAAAGTAGAATTCAATAGAGTTACTACCAACTCAGATAGAAGCTGTTCTTCAGCCTATTTGTCCTTGTTTTTTATTATATTTTATTGTATTCTTTTTATTATGTGCCGCACGGAGGAAGGGAAACCCAGAATCACAGGAGGTATAACTTGGGAGGGGCCAGAGTTAAGTCTTCCTCCCCCCAAACAATCGCAAACGTAAAGATGCAGAAAATGCAGAAATTGAGGCCTGCGAAAGGAATTATGGCAAGGGAAAACTCTTCTTTTTCTGTTGAATTCGGTGGCTGGATTTAACTCAAGAGCAAAACAAACCACATGCCTGCTAGATCACAACCCCACACACATACACACACGCACACTCTGGCACACACAGACACACACACACCCACTTACTTTCTGCTTCCAGGTAGAGTCCTCGGGTTTTGTCTCCTTCAAATTTTGCTTTCTGCAGCTTCTCCAGCTCATCTCGGAGCTGCTCGTTGTCCACCAAGGCTTTCCGCTTCTCCATCCTCTGGTCTTCCACCTCGGCCTCCAGGCTGTTCACCTGAGCCTTCAGCTGGGTGATGTACCTTTGAGCCTGAAGAGAGAAAGCAGGGAGTTGAAAACAACTTGAATTTACGAAATTATGAAAAGTGACTCCCCCCCGCTTTTGTTAAAAACGTAAAAATAAGAGCCCTGGGGCTCTTGAAAACGGATTTCTGAACACACCCCAAAGGTCCACGATTTGCTTTGAGAATAATATGGGGGGAAGAAGGGGGTGTCCCTTAGCAGAGTTTGAAATCGGGATGGGGGAAATCCAGGCCTTACTTCCAGCTTAATCTTCGCTAGCTCTGTCTGAAGCAGTTCAATTTCTTTCTTCAGGTTTTCGATTTGCAGATCTCTGACAATAAAAAGAGCAACGCGTCGCATTAGGGGGTGCGCAAAATTCAAGTTTTGAGTTGGTTTGATGGCCTCCACTTTCCCCATCAAATAGTCAGCTATCCTGACTATTAGATTTCTAGTGTGTTTCGCGAAAGATGCTTCGGTATATTTATAAATCCTGCAATCCCATGAAGCCAAGCTCCCTCCCGTCTCTGAAAAGTACCATTTATTAACAGATAATCAGAGTTGGAAGGGACCTTGTAGGTCATCTAGTCCAACCCCCCGCCCAAGTGGAAGACCCTACACCATTTCTGACAAATGGCAGTCCAATCTCTTCTTGAAAGCTTCCAGGGATGAAGCTCCCACAACTTCTGAAGGCAACTCCTGTTCCATGGGTTGACTGTTCTCCCTGTCAGAAAGTTTCTCCTTATTTCTAGGTTGAATCTCTCCTTGTTCAGTTTCCATCCATTATTCCTTGTCTGGCCTTTAGAAAATAGCTTGACCCCTTCCTTCTCCTCTCTGGGGCAGCCCCTCAAATATTGGAAGGCCACTCTCCTGTCTCCCCTGGTCCTTCTCTTCCCTAGACTAGCCAGGCCCAGTTCTCACAACTGTTCATTGTATGTTTTTTCCAGTCCCCTAATCATCCTGGTTTATCTTCTCTGCACTTTTTCTAGAGTCTCAACATCTTTTTGACTTCAAAGGAACGAAGCTGGCCAACTTATTACATCTTATCAATCACCTTAGAAGATTGTTAAAGACATACATATTCTTCCTTTCTCCTGGGTTTTTTCTGCCGCCAACCCTCCAAAAGTTAACGCTTTCTTAAAAATTATTTTTACTTTTGGTGAATCCCAAGCACCAGATAGCTTAAGTGTTGCTTTTATTAACTACGAGGGTTTTATTGGTCAAATACCTGTCATCTTTTAGTCCGTTGGGTGGCCCGAAAGTCTGCTCAAATATATCCGACACATTCTGCAAAAGAAGAAAAGAATTCTGGGAGTTAAAATTTTGCACATGCTCAGAAACACCGTTACACCTTCCAAGAAAAAAACACGATGGGGCTGTACCCCAGCTGGAAGGGGAGAATTTGCACCAGTCACCCACTTCTGAATGGTCCGGCCGAGGACCTGCGTTGAACAGGGGGGGTGGACTAGAAAACCTCCAAACTCCCTTCCAGCTATCTATTCCTCTCTTATTCTATCTTACCGGCTGCTCTACGGATGGAGCTGAGCTGATCTCAATCAGGTTTTCTGGCTCCTCGTCTTCGGGGGCTTCTTCTGGAATGACTACCACTGGCTTGACATGCTCGGCTAGGGCGGATGCCCTCAGGAAATTGGGAGGGTTCTGTGGAAGGAAGGAGACCCAAACTCACTGATAGCCTCACACTGCAATGAACAAGGACATAGATTCAATTTCGCAGCAACTAAGATTGTCGGATGGGCAGGGACAAAAACAATCAGTCACTATGGTTGTTGGATGAGCAGGGACAAAAACAGCCAGCTACTAAGATTGTTGGACGAGCAGGGACAAAAACAGCCAGCCACTATGATTGTTGGATGAGCAGG